ATCACTTAGCTCTTGTTCATTTCTGTGTGTGTTGTGTACCTTCTCATTTGATTTTCTTAGATTTCAGTCTTGAGAACCAGCATGGTGTAGTGGTTTAAGCATTGGTCTAAGATGTTGGAGACTAGAGTTCAAATCTCTGCTCAGCCAGGGAAACTCACTGGATGACCTTGAACAAGTCACACTCTCTCATCCTCTGAGGGAGAGAAAGACAAACATCTCTCTGAACAAATCTTGTCAAGAAAACCCCTAAGGGTCACCTTAGGGTCACCATAATTCATAAATAATAACTGGAAGGTACACAACATCATCACAACAAAGTTCTAGTCTTATGCTTGTCACAAAATTGAGATTTAATCTTATGAAATCAGTAAGATGAGCTTTGTATATAATAAGACTTTATATAGCATACATCCATTTGTGTAACTTGGGTTGCCTGATGAGGATTATCCTATGCCCTGAGATTTCAGGCCAAAATTTGAGCCCTAGGGATGACCCCCCCTCCCACCCTGAGATGTTACAGGAGGCTGGTTCGTGTGATGCTTGTAGGCATGATATCATAAGCAGCAGTCACAGTTGCACACAGTAAAAAACAGTGTATCTAACAAATGAGGGAAACATACATTAACCTTAACCTTTCAAGGACGTACTTTTGCCCTGAGATTCTTCCCCATTGCTCTGAGGATGGTGAAGAGGGGCCAGGCCCTAATATCTGGCAAGCTGGAGGTAACAGAGATATCTGGAAATCTGTTCACACACTTGGAAACATGGGAAGTCTGTAATGTTTATTTATTTATTTATTTAAATTGTCTGAAGTATTCTTTGGATCATGACTTCAGTATTATTTATAAACAGATGAATGTTTATAAACTTGTACAAACCCACTAAAGTTAGAAACGGGCATTCTAGCAGTCTCTCTTTATGATTATGATTCTTCTAATGTACCATAAATTAAATCCTGGGCATTTTATGACTGTATGGTGTAGTGGTTTTTTGTGCTGGACTCTGACTCTGACCAGGGTTCGAATCCCCACTTGACCATGGAACCTCACTGGGGCGGCATCCAACACTGCAGAAATGATCCAATTTGAGACTGCTTTAACCACTATGGCTCCATGCTATGGAATTCTGGGAACTGTAGTTTTGTGAGACATTTAGCCTTCCCTGTCAGAGAGCTCTGGGGAAATCAAAATAGTCAAAGAATTCTCATATGTAGGATCAAATATTGAATGGAATGGAGAGTGCTGTCAAGAAATCAGAAGATTAGGAATGGGAAAGGCAGCTATGAAAGAACTGTATATATATCTGTGAAAGCTGGTCAGTGAATAAAGTGGCTAAGAAGAAAACATATTTGTGATGTGGTGCTGGAGAAGAACACTGAGGATACCATGGACAGCTAAAAAGACAAATGGGTCCTAGAGCAGATCAAGCCAGAGATCTCCCTGGAAGTCAAGATGACAAAACTGAGGCTGTTGTGCTTTGGTCACACCATGAGAAGGCATGAATCATTGAAGAAAACAATAAACCTAGGAAAGTTGAAGGGAAGCAGAAAGAAAGGAAGACCCCATGCCAGATGGATGGATTCAGTCAGGGGGGGACACTGGCATGGGCTTGCAGGAACTACGTAGAGAAGACAGGGAAATCTGGAGATGTCTCATCCACAGGGTTGCTATAAGTGGAAATCTGTCGGTCTATCTGTTTTACTGAGGAATTATTCTGTAGGCATTATATATATATATATATATATATATATATATATATA